TACATGCAGCTAATGCTTCAGCTAACAGGAGGACGTAGGAGAAGCTGCGTTTACGCGGACTTTGAATTTTTGCAAATAGATGTGCCTAAACATGCACAGGACACTTTGAAAACACACTAAAGAGCATATAAAACCAGAAAAAGCATAATATGGGACCTTTAAGGAAAATTATTTAAAAAAAATAATCAGCCATAGAAGACGTGTTTACTTCCTGTTTGTCTCTTTCTTGAAGATGCCAACAGCTCCGATTAACTACACTGGTCGACGGTTATGGTGATAAGGAACAAGGAGACTGGAGAGGAATACACTGCTGTGTGATAGAAACAAATTCCTGTTGCCTCAGAAGAAGACGAAGATGTAAATGACAGCACATGTCACGTCAGGCTGGATCACTTGCCTCACAGGATGGACTTAATGGGAGATAAATGTGTCTGATATATTTGTGTTTCTGCACACATGTAAGGATTTTATGTCTTAAGAACAAACTCAGATGGTATACAGTTTCGCTGAATTTCTGGGTTGCATCTTTACTAGATATGAAATCTCAAAAGAGAAAGACACATCGTGCTCATTTTCATCATAATCATTAACAGGGCATCAATAGGATCAAATCAAATCTGAATAAAAAGTCTTATTTTTCATTTGTAAATACACTAGAGAGACAGGTTTAAGGAGAGTTATAGTTTAAGTACAAAGGGCAATATCAAAAAGGACTGGTGAATGTTGCAGCTGAATTATCTGCTGTAAGACCATGAGAAGGTAAAGTTTAAAGGATGACGTAAGTGTAGTGGAGTAAACATGTTTGCCAGTTCATCAGTGATGCTTGCTTCATAAAAACGACACTTCCATCGTCTTTCTTTTTGGCGTCAGGCTGCAGCTTAGCTAAAATATTGTATTACGATTTATGTAACTTATCTTCATACGCCCACACGGCTTTATTGGACTCTATATTACAGGCTGGAACGACCCAAAGGATTCATCGTATTTGCTCCACAGTGGATTATCAGATGTGTTGGTACATTTCACTGTCATACATTTAACTGAGTCTTTGCAGAGTTCTGCCAGATTATCTGACGAGTTTACAACTTGTTTAAAAAGCAAGAATATTATTAAAAGCCATTTAATGCTGCAACAGCCATGTTGCGGTGTATACGTTTACTTCTGGAGGTTGTAATTTTGCACTTTATCAGCGCCGATTATATCTGGGCATTGTGATATTTGAATGTATTTGAGATCACTTGAGATGCATGTATAAGAACAGTGTAACGTTTTATGTTGAAATACATGTATTTTGAGTGTTTTCTAGGATTTTGATATACATATGTATATAAGATGAATAGTTTTAGTGTTGAGTTTCTACTATATTCTCGACTTTGTAAACAGCAGTCCACAAAATCAATTCAAGTGAAAAGAAAGCAGAAATTGAGACATCTTAAATTCTGTGACAACTCAGTGAACCCTTTCTGCAGAGGAAGACCGGATGATGAGACTGAAAGCTTTGGAACAACAACTTTATAGATCTTCAGTTTGGACCATTTTGGTCAGTAATGAACGTCATGTTTTGCTTGTTTTCCCAAAGATTATTTGGATGCAAGAAGGCTATAAATCATTCTATAGACTTTGCGATGTAGGTAGTGTTGTAGTCGAGATCACACTGACCGAGACAAAGACATACCCGAGAGCAGAGTGCTCCGAGACCGAGACAAGACCAAAACATGTAGGGATCAAGACCAAGTCAAGACCAAGTCAAGACCAAGTCAAGACCAAGACCAAGACCAAGACAGGGCGGGACTGAGGCAAGACCAAGACCATAAATATCACTGAAAAAAAATCAACATCCAGTGTGCTTGTCACTCAATAAGAGTGTAGCACCGGGGAGGTTGCAGCCATAACCAGGAGGGGATAAAAAACATTATGAATGAACAGAAGATATTCATTATTTAAGAAAGGGCAGTTTTCCTTCTAATCACAGAAAAAATGACCCAGAAAAACAACCTGTCAGTGGTGGTCTTGACCGGTCTTGATTTAAAATCCCGAGTTTGCCCAGTCGGAGACCGAGACATGACCGAGTACAAGTGATTTCGATTCCAAGACGAGACCGAGACCTTCACCAATTTTGAGCACTACAGCATTAGAAGTAGGCAACATATCATTCTTATATTCAGGATCCCTACTAGAAATGAATTAGTCCTCTTTATCTGTGAATGTAACTGGAGACGTTTTAAGCACATGTATACAGTCCATATTCTGTGACAGACTGACGATTGGCAGCCGCTTTTCAAATATACTAGCAACTAAAATCTAATACAAAAAGGCAAATAAGAATCCCTTCACATACAGTGAAGGATTCCTCTTTCAATGTGCTGAGTGTCCACTTTAAATACATTTCAAATAATGCTCACATGTTCTTGTCGTTGCCATTTTCTTCTTGCTGACGTAATAACTTGTAATTCTGCTATGTGTGGGTGTGTGCTCTGATATTGTACAATGAAAGTATTATCATCACATGTTTTTATATATTAACCCTAAATAGCTGACTTTGAATCATGTTAATTGACCAAATGTAAACAAGAAATGGTATATTCCTTTGAGATGCTTTTACGATGATTGCACTGTCGCTGTTTAATGGCAGCGTAACATGGATGTCTGTAATGTGGTTTGCACAAAGTGGCTAATAATTAGTGCACATTTTCTGTTACTCGTTGTCCTGTCATTCAACTGATCTTTCTACCGCCCTCACAGATCCACTTTACTAAAGTCATCCTTGACTTCACAGTCATACAGCCTTAACTCAACATATAGAAAAATACATATAAATTATAATGACATTATAAAATACGTAGAGACACACTGCAAATACAAAAGACCTGTGGAATTTGATAACTGTATCAAGCCTAGTGACGGTCTGCACTATGTCTCCCCTCGCTGTTGGGTTGAATCATCAGGAGCTAGTTCAACTTGAACCTATATCCATCCAAAATAGCAACGGAGCTGCTGTCCTAAAATCCTTCAGTGCACGTAGGAGTTAAAAGTAACCTGTGCTGTCAAGGCAGATTAAAGTTATGGCTGTTAGGAGCTGAGGATGGAGGTTCAGACTGAAGCCTCTGAAAGAAGAAGTTAAAACTGTGGCACCTAGCCCTCAACTTGACGTCTGAAGGTTAAAGAGGCCACCCACAGCCCAAGCTTTTAACAACTTTCTACTGAGACTGAAGAACGAAGGCTGTGTGCAGAGAGTATGTTGAAATCTGATGGAAATCTCTGAAATAGGCTGTAGTTTTGACTAGTAGGTGAGCGATGAAGTTATAGGTGGATACAAATCAGCTACACGTTGTAAGTGAAAATAAACTTGCCTATAAATGTACACCTGCAAAAGGTGATAGCTGGATTTGAACTGGCACACAACCAGAAGCTGCAGGAATATGTTTGTTATTAATTTTTCTCTCAATCTCTGAGCCTGAAGGTGGATTTTAAGCCTGGGGACCAATGACAAAGGTTTAAAGAGAAAGTTTAAGATTGAAGCATTAAACCAACTAGTTTGTGCAGTCCAAAGTGTAGCCCAACCTCCTCTTAGGTGTGACATCACACAGAAATGATGAGAGACAATATTTGTTGAATTGTAGATACACATACACAGCTATGTCTTGTGCATGTGGTGTTGAACTGTCGAACGAGCAAAGGCTTAAATAATAATTAAAATGGTATTTGGAGCATGCAGTGGATCATCAGTACAGGAAGTCCTAATTTGACGGACGGTAACCGGTATTTAATTATTTGGAGGCACTTGGATGTTAGGTAGCTTTCTAGAAATAAGGGCAGTCTACAGAACATGGCACTAAATACCTTTCTTTCCCCATTTTGAGAGCACTGCCCAGCATTCGAGAGGACCCTTCATAAAAGCTTGAAGGAAGAGTGATATTGGGGCTGGTTTAGAGGAGGCTTATCTGCAGCCACAACAGGTGATAACGTGGCTGTGACTCAATGGTAGAGTCGGTGGTCTCTCAACCGGAGCGTAGAGGGTGTTCGATCCCCAGCTCCTGCAACCTTATGTCGGATGTGTCCTCGGGCAAGACACTTAACCCCGAAAGGCTCCCGCTTTAAATCATTTAAAATGTATATTTGGTTATGGTGGGCACCCCCCAAGGGGTCCCGACCCCATTTTGGGAACCACTGATGTAGAGTCAGAGGAAGATCAGACATGGACCCCTGAGACATTTGTCAGTTTGGTGCAGTATTCTTCTTAACTAATATTGAAGATATTGAATTCAACAAATAAAGCTGCTTTTCAAATGTATGTGTAAACGTTGGCATAGCTGTTTGTCCAACAAGGAGTGGATTCAGAATCCTAAATTAAAAACCACTCATTCAACCCTTCACGAGCTACCTAAGGCAGATTTTAACACCTATAGGCTTCTGGGTACCCCAACTCTCAGAAGCTCTCAAGGATTTGTTTCATATAAGACACTAAGTTACAAACACATTTGTGAAGAAATTTCTTGGTATGGAATTTATTCCCAGATGAGCCAAATATCTGATAGAATTCCTGAACTAGTCTATTTGAGTAGTCAGAAGACTAGAAAAGCACCATACAAGCTATATTTACAATTTACCATTTGACATTCTTATAGATTGATTGTATGTATGTATGTGTATATATATATATATATATATATATATATATATATATATATATATATAGATATATAGATATAGATATAGATATAGATATATATAGATATATATATATATATATATAGATATAGATATATATATATATATAGATATAGATATAGATATAGATAGCTAGATAGATATTCATGTGTTTATTTGAATACAGGCTGTTTATTATTGGTTATATTGTGTCAAGATAGTTTCAAGAAAGAGTGAATTTAGCGTTAGCTCTATGTTAGCATTAGCTTTCACAACTTTAATGTCTTCGGCTCAGCTCGTCAAACTCCGGAAAGTGTTCGCTCGCTCGTTGCTACTGACGCTTCCGTAGCTAACAGGAACGAGGGGAACCACTTCCGGGTCTGGAAAGCAGCACTCAAGTATCCACGTGAATTGTCCAATAGGTTACAAAGTAAGTACACCGTTCAAGTTTAAATTAAAATACTTTATGCAGCGATGATATCGTACAAGAATCTAAAGTCCTCTCTAACTGATCAGTTTGTATCCTCGTGGATTTAACCTTTTATGAGTCTTACAATGGTTAACTTATGTTAGCAAGCTAGCTAGCCAGGGTCACCATGAATGCTTTATTCAATCTGCTTTACCTGAAGAAATGTTGTTCCTGCCGTGCTATCACTCTGGATATGTAAAACTGAAAGTGTTACCAAATAATACGCGTCAGTTTCATACAACCTGGAAGATGGATTCATTATTTTTATCAGTAACCTCGTGTGATCTTCTTATTTTTCAGACGGATTCCGATGAGGACGTGGTTTTCGTTTCTGAAAAGGGTGTAGCTTCATCCAGAGAGATCATCTTTGATCAGGTACTTCACATATTAGCCTCGTTGAGTGGAAAGAAGATGGTGTTGACCAATGAAGTCAGGCAAGCTATGAGAACTGAAGTCCTTGTGTTTACATAATGATTGTCTGTAGTAGTAATGTGGTGGTGTGTTAAAAAGAAACAGTTCAACTAGATGTCAAGAGTCAGGGAGTGGCAGAAAGTTTCACACATGCAGATTTTGAAGTGTCAAACATACAGAATGGTTCATTGAAAGTACTTTCTTTGCTTGTCTGTTGATTTTTTTTAAAGCGTTCTTCCTGTTTCCTGCAGACAAAGCGACTGGCCCTGCAAAGAGATATTGATCAGCAGTCGCAGCCCAAGCAGCCAACCAAACCTTTGGTACGTGTTTGTTGCTTTTATTCCAACCCTTCGACCTTTAACCTAAAGGCTTTGTGTTACAGTTTATGTTGTCCTCTCCACAGACAAGCCTGAGGTCTGTTGCCGTCGAGGGGCCAGGGGAAAGGATGACAATGAAGGTGGAAGAAGACAAAAGTGAGGGGAAAATTGTGAAGAAGAAGAAACAAAAGAAAGAACAGACATCTCTGCCTGAAAAAAACAAGTGTACTGTTGATGACGGGAGCCTAGCCGAGGAGAAAAAAGGAAAGAAGAGTAAAAAGGTTAAAGCAATAACTCTGGATGTTGAGCCTTTAAATGGAGGTGTTGAAAAGGAGGAGAAGAAGAAGAAAAAGAAAAGTAAAACTGTTAAAGAACCTCTGAATGATGCTGACGTTTCTGATGTCAAGAGTGGAAATGACGAAGGCATTAGGAAAGAGAAGAAGAAGAAAAAGAAGCTGGCTGATGATGAGAATGGAGTGGAAACTGCAGAGAGTTCAGTGAAAGAAGAAGTGGAACAGAGAGTAAAGAAGGAGAAGAAAGTAAAAAGTAAGTCTGTACAAGCTAAATCAGAACATTTAAAGCTGAAGAAAGAGGAGGTGGAGGATGAGCTGCCAAAGAAAGCCAAGAAGGCAAAAAATAGTTTTTTAGTTGAAGGCACAGACACAGAGGAAAAAGTAAAAGACAAGAAGAAAACTAAAACCACAAAGGATGAGACGGTAAAAGCTGAAGAGGAAGATGTAAAAAGTGTAAACGAAAAGAAGAAGAAAGCTAAAACAAAAGTGGCTGAAGACGTGATGAAGGTAGAAACCCTGGAGACTGAGACTGAAGAGCTAAAAGTGAAGAAGAAGAAAAAGAAGTCCCAGGCAAACGAAGCAGGAACCCCTCAGATCAAAGGCAAAAACAAAACAAGCAAAGTGAACAAAGATGATATCCTCAACGAGAAATCCACAGAGAGCCAGACTGTTATTTTTAAGGAGGAGAAAGTGGAGCTAAAGAAAAAGGGAAAAAAGGATAGGACAGCTTCTGTGGAGGTAAAGGAAGAAGAGGAGACTGAGCCCAAGAAGAAGAAAAGGAAGAAGAGAGCGGAGGAAGAACAACTAGAGGTCGAGTGTGAAGAAGCTGAGACGCAGAGTGTGGACACGAGCAAAAAAAGGAAAAGGAAGAAGAGCGCCGTTAAGGAGGAAACGCAGGATGTGAGCGTTGAAACCAGCGTGAAAAAGAAGAAAATAAAAGAAGAGGTGAAAGATGAACATGTGAGTATCTGTTGTAAGATGCGTTATGAACAGGCCTTGGGTATTGTTTTGTTTTTTTCCCCACAGGATTGAACCTTGTTTGTGTTTCAGGAGGTTCCCCAAACAGATGTGGTCTTTCTGTCAGAGAAATCTGGAAATACTGACGAGGTCACCATAAACCAGGTAAACATGGCCCTCATGATTCCTCCTTCATTTGTGTCAGCCTGAGTGAAATGTGGTATCCTTTGTTGTTTATGTGCTGTCTCACATATAGTGAAATACCCACATTCTCTGACTTTCTTAAATGACAACACTCTGATGATAACTCTGGTACCATTTTTAATAGGGCTGCTTAAAAATATCGATTCATCAATGCATTGCATTTTTTTATTTTCCCAATTAAATATCGATTCAGGGAAATCCTGAGATCGATATTTTTTTTTGTTGTAATGCCACCCCTCTCCACTGGGGGCACGGTGGGTGCTGTGCATTCAGATCAGGCACAATTGTTCACTTTAGATCATACTGTACTTTAGTGTTTTATTCTTTGTTTATTAAAGAATAATGAACGATAAACAATAAAATACATTTGTGAGTGTTTGTTCTAAATCTATACAAACAATGAACACGTAATTATTTAACAAATATCAGAAGGTACTGTGATGAGTTATCTGGTTTTTCCTGTCGTCTGTATGTATTATTAAATTGATATCGAAGCATATTGATCAATAACTAATCAAATTTTTTACATAGCTTAGCACAAAACCTGGAAACAGTGTCCATATGTTACAAACAGATGTTAGACTCTTGACCAAATAAAGCAAATGTTTGATATGACTTGAGTGTTTTTCTGAGCTGTACAGTTTCATGAAATGAGTTCTCTGTTTTTGTCATAGGAGAGAAGACAGGCTTTACAAATGGAGGTTGACGAGGCGTCTCAACCTAAAAAAGCAGCCAAACCTGTGGTCAGTATTTTTGCTTTTCTTTTAAAGAAACTCAAACTGTCGAATCTCTCTTCTACCTTTTCCTTCAAAGAGTACCAAAGTGCCTTTATAACAAATCCTGGGGTTATTTAGGGCAACACTAAGAAAGAAACATTCTCCATAATGCACCAGAAAAGCAACTTCATTCAACTCCTATATATTTAAAGTTTAGAAGACTGAGCCGTTTTTCTCTAATCGAGCCTTGGTGATGTTATCAGCGTTCTTTTCTCTGACTTCAGAAATCTCCTACAGGGCCACAGAGAGAATTATACAAATGTTCTCACAGGCGTGCTGAGTGAACTGAGCCCCCTGTGTGAAATCAGAACATAGTTTGTTAAATGGTACATGGACTTGGGCTTGTGTAGCGATTCTCTAGTCTTCTGTCTCCTCCGAGCAACTTTCACACCGCAGGTCACACCCACCCACTCACACCACATCCACACACTGATGTAGAGGCTGCTATGTGAAGTGGCCATCAGTATAATACATTCATAGATACAGTGCCGACGAAGCAGCGGGAGATATTCAGGGTTAAGTGTTTTTCTCAGAGGACACATCGGACATGTGGCTGCAGGAGTTGGGGATCGAACCCCAGACCTTAAAGCTCCTCTGAGGAGTTTTTGGTTGGTTATGAAACGGTCTGAAATTCATAGTGATGCATCTTTAAGATCTTCAAGAGCAAGCAAGCCCGTCGTTGACGAGATGTATTATTTCTAAATTGTATGTTCTGATGCCTTCAGCAGTCACCATGGAGTAGGTGTCGGACAAGATGATTAAAGCATGCTGAAGAATGTTTTTTTGTATATATATATATATATATGTGTGTTTTTTTGGAGAGATAGGATAGTTGATAGAGTTGGAAATCAGCTTGAAGGGAGAGAGGGGAATGACATGCGGGAAAGGAGCCTCAGGTTGGATTCAAAACTGTGTCGCCCGCTTGGAGGACTACAGCCTCCATACGCGTGTCGTGCGCACTAACCACTGCACCCCTGAAGAATGTCTTTTCTACATTTTTAACAGAATAAGACAGTCACTGATTCATTTGACTTTTAAGGGAAAGCAGGATGAGATTTATTTTGTTGTCCGCAATTCCGCCTCTACTTACAGCCTCCTTGAGTGGGCGGGCTTCTCTCTCCCATCACGTGCTGGATTGGCTAACGGTTGGAGACAGAGGGGTTCATATGAAAAATAATTTGAGACATGTTTGAGAGTCTGAGTGAAACAGAAACGAGCTGAATAAAGCGTTGTCTCGTCAGTGTGAACACAGAACTGAGAACAACAAGCCCAGAGGGACTTTGACTTCCCTCTCTATAGTCAATACTCAACCATATATTTGATATCTTCTATATTGATGTTTAAAATGTTGCATATTATACCCTTACACTGTGTCTCTGTTTTTCAGGGTTTCGGTCAGTGGAGCACAGCACAGTTTGACAACTCGGAACAGCAGCAGAAGTTCCTCCGATTGATGGGAGGCTTCAAAAAGGGTTTCCAGCCGGCTTCAGGGAGCACTGGGGGAGCAAACATGGCACTGGGGAAAAACGACCAGCAAAAGTTGCAGCAAGGGCTTCTGGGACAGTTTGAACGCGCTCAATCGCGCAGAATGGACTTTAATAACAAGGGCTCAGGACTCGGGTTCTCCGCACCGTCCAACAAGAAGTTCGCCATTGATATCAATGCGTCTAGATCCGTTCGCTTTGATGATTGAAGTGTGTATTTGTACAAATGTTGCTGTTCTTTTCTTTGTGTAGTTTTAATTGTGGATTCACAAAGTGTGCTCAAGTTCATTAGGAAACTCAACTCATAGTGGACTACTTCTGTAACTTGAATATAAACGATGACTTGACTTTGAATGCTATTTGTACATAATGTACATTAAAAATCTGAAATCTTTTTAAACTGGACTGTTTAACATATTTAATTTCAGTTCCCTGTCTCGCCTCAGTGGGGTCTTAGGGCGCACTCACACTCTGGCAAAGCTGTCCCGTACCGTGCTCAAACACAATTTCCCCCTTTCCCCTGCCCTCACACCGCTCCAGGACTAACTGGACCCGAGCATGTTAACCTCTTGTAAATAACGTTGTAATACAACACATGAATGGCTTTATGTTATGATGAATCGTGCTTAGTTTACAAGACAGGCTGTCGAGTCTGCGTCCAGAACATGACGGCTACTTTACTGATTTTATTATTTTGAGTAATTTTAGTCAGATACAGCCAGACTGGGATTTCTCAATAATGAAGGCTGTCCACGTTTCATGCTTGGATCCTTGACGAACTGCAGGATTTTGTACTTCATTTTTCAACACTAGAGGATTTCTGCTTGGTCTTGATTTACAGCTAGCGTGTGTTCAGCAAGGGTGAATGAAGTTACATCGATTTAAATCAACCTCCCCAGATGTGTGTGTGTGTGTGTGTGAAGACTGCTGAAAGTTTTCATAAATTAATTAATAGCATTACCGTGCTACATAAAAAGAAGGAGCTTGCATCAAATCGATGGTTTTGATAGGTTTTTTATTCCAATCTTGCACATGAATCACCTCTGCTGGAAGATGAAAAAAAGAAATCAAAGATAACACGGACACATTTCTGCTTTCTCATTGATGGCTCATATGTTTGGTTTTGATAATGTGTTGGAAAAAACAACATAATATTCGACTATCTCAACCTACTTCAATATTCCCTGTGCAGTAGCTGTACTGTTATTTGGAATGAACATCAGGCTCTCGCTCAGTCATTTTCATTTCAAACTTCTCAAGACAATATTTGTCCTTCAGCTTATCGAAAAACTGGAACAGCCTTAAAAGAGTACGGAGAAACTGAAACCAGAGATCAAAATGTCATCACATTAAAGACCAAAGTATGAAAAAAACAAAAGTCAACCACATACATGACATGTTTTAAAGCACGATGCAGCAGTCCTCATTACAGACAGAAAACACTCGCTGCCTTTTGAATGATGTCTATTTTTCCTTGACATGACCATAACTGTGGGTCTCAACAAGTGTGTGTTTATACACTCATCACTGTGCACCAACGATCATCCTTCCAGAGACCTGATCCATCATAATACGAAGAACTGAGTGAATCCTGCATCAGTGAAAATAGCCTCTCTTTAAAAGATGAAAATCTGATGCTTTAATCTTTTCAACATAATGATCCCTGCATTGTAACACCCTGGGTGAGAACCAAGTCAACAGTTCTAATCAGGTTAAAAACAATTGTACAGACAACTTTGAAGCCAAACGTTGCTGGCACACGCATCGTTCTGAGTTCAAGACACCTTTACAACAGTTGCTACGCTCCTTGGATTATGTCCTGACAATTTGGCATTTTCGTCCGCTTCTGTGTTTCCAAGCTAGCACGATCTAAAGCTGACATAATGTGCAGAGGGACAAAAAAAAAAAAAAAAAACACTAAGAGATGAAACAGAAGTCGCCAACATTCTGCACGTCGTCCAGTCTCTTCAAAACATCTGTAACGGAGTCGAGAGGCGACTCGGCTGCAGTTGGGGACAGGAGGGAAGGGAAGCTGTGTGTTCCTTGTGGAAGAGAAAAGCTGCGAGGCTCTCATGCCTGCAAGTACTCCGGCTGCACTCGGGCCACTTTGCGGAACTCCTTGGCATGCGTTCGTGGGCACTGCATCTCACACCAGCTGATAGGAACCATCTGAGCACCTGGATCACAAGAGTTATGGTTAGTCAAAGGCTCTTTGTCTTTCAGGGTCAGACACCACACTTCTTTCTTCTCTGTTTGCACACATGCACTCCTGACATTTTTCAGAACATTTTGAGGAAACGACTCGTTATCACAGGAAAGCAGAGTAAATAAAATGCATGGATGTTTGTCTACTCGCGTCAAAGATAACTAGAATGCTACATTAAATGTGTGATAAATATAACTCTATGCAAACTGCTGTGTGCTGTCGCAGTGAAACGAACCACCTACAGGTTCATGGTGAATACTCCCTGCAGCTATCTGGGCACAATCTCTTGCACCACCTTGTGTTCAAACCGGATCTTACTATCCATCTGAGAAAAACTGTCACACCTTCTGTCAAATGTTTAAAGAAAAAGAAAAGAAGATACTGCTTGATACGAGTGCTGATCGTTACCTGCTTCACTGTGTGCCACCACCACGCCCAGCTCATTCTCTGCTGTTGTCAGCAGGTAGTTAGACTGCACGTCTCCGAGAGAAATCTGACATCACAGGTCAAGGGTTAATAAAAAAAAACATCAGCACCTCAGTGGACATCCACAGAATGTTTGTAGTCTGTCTTTAGAAGAAACTGAAATATGAAAATGATCCTCAGAGATCTCAGACTTCTCTGGAGGCGTGACTGAGTTCTTCTGAGGTTTGGATATTCTGGGAGAAAAACTAAATGAAGGCAGATGTTTGAACTGAATGTTTTCCATAGCTGAAGACTGTTTTCATGTTTCACTTTAGAAAAGAGGTTGGTCCCCCCCCCCAGGGCAGCTGAAGGATACGACTTTTGCCAAGACGATGTCCCCGGGTCTGAAGCTTTTGTACGTCTCCACCTGTGACAACAAAGAGACGTTTTAAACTAAGCTTGTCAACTTTGATCAAAAAGAAAAAGGAACTGCAGAAAAAAGAAGAAAAAAAACACAGAATCTGGTTGAATTGGTGAATTTGAACACACCTTGTCCTTCTCTGTTGCACGGACATCTTCTTTCCTGAAGAGTCAGAAGAATCAGACTCAGATTTTGGACAAATATGACATAAAACAGAATCCCTATTCAGACTACTTTTATCTCTATCAAGCCGTTACTAAGCTCAGCCGTCGTCACGTCTTTGCACACTGCTCTGCTGAAACCGTCTAGCCTTTGTTACTACCTCTGAAGACGATACAGAGGGGGATCACTTTGTCCCCCCATTGCGGCAGTCTGAATAGAGCTTTTGTGACTATTAGAAGACAGCGTTGTTGTGGTGTTACCTTATCGTCCCTCTGAAGCGGTCCTTCAGCGGTGTGGAGCCGACATAAAGGATGTGGACCTTTGCGAATCTGGGGTTGATGCTTGTAACCTGCCAAAGCAAAGAACACTTAAACTCCAGACAAACCCCCTCTTCATAAAAGTGATGCCGTAAGCAGATCACCTGAGAGTAGAAAAATAGAATCTTGATAGCGTTGCATACCTTACAGGTGACTATCGCTCCTACATCTGGTAGTAGTTGCGTCTCTGTTTCCCTCACCACTGAGATCACGGGTAACTACAAAGAGACAAAAAAAAAATCACGTGTATTAAAACGTCACAAATGTAAATATCAGGTTTTGCCATTCAAATCCAAAACAGCCTGAAGGAGGGACCTGTCACATGGTGCATATTTCATCATAGACACTGAACAAACTATTTTGGTTCAGGCACATTCACAAACGTTGCGTAATTCTTTTACTCCGGTACTCTTACACGCCTGAAAGCTTCTGCAGCTTTTCCCCACCTCTCTCCTGCCCACACCCACCAGCACACTGCTCACCTCCTCTCCCTCGTTCTTCCTGAGCACGTAGCCTGCTAGAGAGGAGTATATGCAGCCGTGCCGCACGTAGACTCCTGTGCCAGGAATACAGTCTTCTACACTGCACAGCTTGTCACCTGGAGAGATAAACAAGGAGGGGAAAGACAGAGGCAGTGTTGGAGAATAGCTGTGCGTTTGTTTGTGTTGTGAAAGTGAACCAATCTCTGCCAAAATCGGAATTAGATCATCCACCTTTGTGAGATAAATACCAGAGGATTTAAGGAAAACAAAGATCAGGTCTATTTTACAAAGAAAACAGCACTTTCTAAGAGGTGTTCCTCCTTGTTTAGGCTGTAATCCGCTTGCTTGGATGCTGGCAAGTTGATCTGTCCAGGATACAGGGTGGAATACCACTGAGACTCAAAAACTCTATACAGGTGTAGCACTAGTCACAGATTTACTTTAGAGAATTAACAACAAGAGGAATAAAAGTCACTTCTTCTTCTTCTTCAGCTAATATGTTCATCATGAAAACATAAACCAAAAGTGTCCTTCATCAAAGGGGATACATTATGACTCTATAATAACCTACACATCCTCAAGCCGAACTATTTATTTACAGGACGCAGTAAACTTCATGGCCTGACAACACCCATTGCTACTACAGTCAGCAGGTAACTTTCACAACTATTCCAAGTATGTAACATTTCAGTTGACGTTTTCTAGAACCAGCCTCATGATAAAAGTGAGGATTTCACATGGGTGAGTCAAAACAAGTGAGAGAAGGAATGCTGCTGTGTGCCTGAGGCGATGGGCAGGGCAGGAGAGGAAACCTGCCGTGGAAAGTAAAAGTTCAGCTCTGCACAAATACCATACTATCCGAAAAACCACGAAAAATACCACTACTCATTACAAGCATTCAAAAAGTACAATTTGTATAACTAATTTTAGCTAAACTGTGAATGAATATGTTAAATGTGCTGATCCACGCGGAATTAAATCACACATGGTAGATGAAAATAATTAAGCGTTTCACACCGTTTACAGTCAAACAGCAGTTTAGCTGTATTTCCTGACAACGCGATGACGTCAACATCAGCCATAATGAGTATAAAGGGACAAAACGCAAAAAAAGTCGAGTAAAACCTCATCCCAAACTGTAGTTAGATTAAAATTTACGGGACTTACCTGGAACACACAGCTTCATGGGCGACATGTTCGCGAGAGGAGATGATTCTCAGCCGATTGGACGCTACGAAGGGCTTTAGTGGATTCTGATTGGCCAGCCTCGCGTAGACCGGAACTGTTAGAAGGGCCGCTCTGTCCGCCATGTTTGTTGAGGCACACATGGGCACGTTTACGTTATGTGATAAAGCCTCACGGCAAGATCAACGTACACAATGTAATTGTAAATGTATAAATATTATGAATATACTCTATACGTTAAATGTAGCAAAGGGTGCTTCTATTTTTTTGTAATTTTGCATTTGTTAAGATATTTTTGTTGAGAAAAAGTTATTCATCATATCAATATCTCTTTTTTGATTTCGAAATACTTTAATAATCGCTGAGGGAAATTCTGGTTTACACTCTGTTATTTTAGAGACATGCTTCACAGAGGGTAAAATAGTTTTAAATTTGGTAACTCCAGTATCAACAGAACATTGCTGCAATCATAAATACCAAGTAATATATTTTTTATTAGCATCACTGTGAAACTATATTGTATCCATTTTTATTTTAAAGATGTATTTCAGTTTTATTTCCTGATTATTCACTAGGACATAATGAAAAGTAACATTAGACACACAAAACAGATTTCATCACATAATGGCTCACAATATTTATTCTACTTCTCACAATGCAACAGCGAACACAAATCAGCAGTGCAGCACATATAAACGTGCCCTTTTTAACAACAGCCAGTGTAATACCTTTGAGGATCTACTTTTCCCACTGAGCTTGACTTACACACATACGTAGGTCGTAAAGAGGAGGGAATACTTGGAATGACTCTGCAGGGTTCGCTATGTTTGCTTCTTTTTGGCTGGTCCGTACATTTTCATTTTGGTCAGTGCTCAAATCATATTGCATCTGGTATCGAAATGAGGAACTGTATTTTAAAGGATGACAGATTTAAATCAATTCAAAAACATTGGATTTGTGTGTGTGAGGGCTGCGTATTGAGAAAATAAAAGTGCACATTGTGTATCTGTATGATCGACTCTGGGATGACTGGAACAATAAATGACCTTGACATAACTTGAAAACTGAATAGCACATGTGATCTGTACTAGGCCATCCATGATGGGGAGGTGGGAGGTGTGTGTGCGTAGGGAGGGGGGGGGGGGTCTATTTCTTGACTTTGCCCTGAGCAGCCACAGCTTCCATGGCCTTCTTGACCGTCTCCTCGTCTCCCAGGAATTGCATGGGTCCTAAAGGCTTCAAGTTCTTGTCCAGCTCGTACACGATTGGGATCCCTGTGGGCAGGTTCAGCTCCATGATGGCCTCCTCTGACATCCCTAAGAAAAAGAAACATAAAATAGCGTAAACTAATGGATAATCCTCTAATATTAACCTGGTTTAAGCTCTATAATGACACCACATTTTAAATTGAGAGAAACATTCAAAGACAAATGAACTATAAATCCCACAGTCACAGTCACACATAGTTTTAGTCACTTGAATCAAAACCTTTCACTCTCCCAAAGTTCAGTGTGAGAAAAGGTAAATAAATACTTATATAAAACCTGGAGTCTAAAAATAATTGAAGCTATAGTTTTGCAAAATAAACCTCTATTGTTAAGGAAGTTTTTGGTTTTAAATGATATTAAGGTTATCAATAAATGCGAACGTTGGAGAATTGAACAATGATTAAAAACCTCTGCCTTAGTAAAGTCTCTGCTTAGTCTCTTACCCTCAAGGTGCTTGACGATGCCCCGGAGACTGTTGCCGTGGGCAGCAATCAGCACCCTCTTTCCGTCTTTGATCTGAGGAACGATCTCCGCCTCCCAGAAGGGTAGAGCCCGAGCGATAGTGTCCTTGAGGCTTTCACAGCTTGGAAGCTGGTCCTCTGTCAGGTCGCTATAACGCCGGTCCTACAGAGTGAGAGAAAGTGAATGTAGCGTTTCAGACATTTGGGCTTAAAATAAAGAAATGAAGATATATGTGTTTTGTAAAAGTGACAGAGTGTTCTGCTGTAGTTTCACCTTGCTGATGTTCTGATAGTAGTCATGCTCCTCATCCATGGGTGGGGGAGGAGTGTCGAAGGAGCGCCTCCAGATCTTGACCTGGGCCTCTCCATGTTTGGCAGCTGTTTCTGCCTTGTTCAGACCAGTCAGGCCACCGTAGTGGCGCTCGTTGAGACGCCAGGTCCTGTTGACGGGCAGCCACATCTGGTCGATGCTGTCCAGAACAAACCACAGGGTTCTGATGGCCCTCTTAAGGACGGACGTGTAGCAGACATCGAATTCATAGCCAGCATCTGAAGTGAGTCACAGACAGGACATGGGATAGAAAGTCTTGTGAATATTCACCAGTATTTGAGACTGTTTTTTTATTTGATCCTCTGCTACATTATGAGACAGGCTTTTGCTCAGTCAGCTGTCAGACTGCAGGCTCTGCAGGAAGTAGCTGCAGAGGCTTTTTTTTGGGGTCACAGAAAACAAACATTTTCACACTCCTGAAAATATCTAGATCATTTCAGGAGGACCGCTCCGGAATATTCTCCTGAACCTGGCTGTTCACATATGCACCTCACAGCGGGAGAATATCCCTGTCAGACAGGAGGAGGGGCGGGGTCTCCCGAGGTAAAAAAATATGTGCAGAGAATATTTGCCTATATTATGCAGCCGTTTAATGACGTGCACGGAGAAGGTAGCGGTCCCATGCTATGAAAAATTGGGCTGTCTGCTTCACACATACAGCTCCTCCTGGTAATATCAGGTTTTCAGTAGTTTTCTGCAAGTGTGAAAGCCCTACATGAAACACAGTGAATAATGTGGAGGACTGAGAAGATTATAAACTGTACTGATCTTAACCCAACAAGATCAGGAACGCTTCCCTAAGCAACATCAGTCAGACTCTGATACATTTACATTTTTTATCCCTCAAAAACCCACGAGGCCCAAATCCCTCAAACAAGTTTTGATCCTAATTTGATGTTGATGATGTCATCAGATGACACTTCTTTAGATGTGTTGTTGTTGCTGCAGTGAGGTTGCAGCTGTATAGGGTTCTGATCACTTTTTGTGTAATCAATTTAAACTATTGTATTTTCTGAAACTGATTTCTTCTTCAAGCACCTGAGTACCTATTTTAATCTCTTCCATGTACTAACATGTTCTGTGATGAAAAAAACACCTGCATTTTTAAAAGAATTAAAGTAGCATGTGAGAACAGGACCGGAGCCTTTGTGAAGGATCCCTTCATACCAGTGAAGTCTGTATGGATATGAAGCTGACGTACATTTTTTTTGGTTTTGAAAAACACTTACTGTAAGTTAGTTGGGATAAAAGCATCAGCTTAAAGCTCCAGTTTTTTGTCTATTTTGGCGACCCCTGATCTGGTCCTGTGCATGTGTAAGAAGTGTTTCCTGATTTTTTAAAAAAGAACATCACTCATTGTTATCTTTGCTGTGAAAAAAATGGAGAAAGGCTGTTACTACAGCATGCAGCTAACCATTTCATCTGACACCTACCCTGTTGCTGAGGTTTTCTACTTTAAAAATAAAAGACATAGAAATAATCAACCTCATCTCTGATAGTCTGGTCGAGTTTTGAAGGTCATGTACAGGCGTCAGTATTAATCGCAGTTAAATACTCCCCACTGGAGCTTTAATATAATGCCATGTGATGGATATCTGTCTGAATGATACCTCACGACTTCCCCAAACTATTCCCGTTTTGATTCTAAGCTTTTTTTCAGAGGAAAGGAAATCGTTTTTTTTACGTCGTGTTGTACAAAACAGAATGTCTCTCTATTTTCTGTACAGGAGATGGCTGATGTAAGCACAACTTCACACCACAGCAGTGAGTGGACTGCTGAGTGGGACATAATGGGCTGGCAGGGGAAAACATGTTTGATCCATGCCAAACTTATCAAACCATTGGCTGCATCCAAATTCTCCTACAATGTCACGGCCACTAATGACCCAAGGGAGGCCTTAAGCCAAATAAAGACTTTGATTGAATCACATTCATCCCTGTTCTCTCTCTCTCTCTCTCTCTGTCTTCCTGCTGCTGGCTGCTCGGATGTCGCAGTAGGCCGACTACCTGTTCCTTGCAGTTGCATAAGCACTGACTTGCAGAGGCTTAATCCAATGACCGAGAGAAAGCCTGATTAGACAATGGGACATTGTGTGGTACCTTTCAGAGCCTGTCCTCCTCTCTTCGCCTCCTGCTCCCCGGTCTCACTCAGGTCTGCGTCGAACCAGCCGCAGAATCGGTTCTCCTGGTTCCAGCAGCTCTCTCCATGGCGGATCAGGACGAGCTTGTACGCAGCCATCCTCACACCAATGCCCTCTGCGCTGTATTTCCGGGAAACTTGGAGTAAGCGTGTCTTCCTAAAATGAGGAAGCAACGTTCGCAGATTCGTCCGGATTTCGCCGCAAAGAGAAATACGGCTGCGAAGAAGATGGCGCAGTATTTTTGTTGATCTGGAGGAAAGGTGTGAGGCAGCAGAAGGTTTGTGGAGTTGGAAATGGTCTGTCCGAACTTGACAGATTTCACCACCCGTGCTCTCTTCCTGCTGGTTTCCACCAATCAGAGAGCGAGCTGTGGCGCTGGAGGAGGAGGGAGGCAGGAGGATGCGCACAGCGGCACGTCCGCACAGCCAGCAGTGCATCCTGCAGGCTCAGAGCGTCAGCACATCACACAGCAACAACTGCCTTTTTCATTCACTAAGAATCAGGAATGATCACAATGGTGGAATACGGGTTCACCCATCTTCATGTACAAATCACAAAAAAAAAAAAAAAAAAGCACAAATGTATGAATTTACTTTCTTAGATGGATTGTAACCACAATCTGTCCTGTAGTCATATTGATTATCATCTCCTGAATATATAAAAAAATAACAATAATAGACATACATATACATAAATACCATAAACTGTATAAAGAATGGACAGCAAAATATATCGCCTTAAGTGAAGCCAAAAGATTTACAGCTCCCTCTGCTGACTGGCTGCAGTAAAGGTTATACTCCCCGCCTCCACCATGTTAACAGATGGGACATGGGTCGAACTGTAAAATCAAGATT